GCCGAACCTGAATTACAGAGGACTTCGAAATAAGATAAACACGGAGCTCACATTGCATGCCTGTCGATGTTCCCTGGAATATTGCCACCTATCTTTCTTCAGCTCCAAAGGTTTTTGCTGCTGACCAAGTTGTCCATTCTGAAGCAGTGTTTTTCGTTTGACCATCCTTCTTAAGCAGCTACACATAACGCATGATCCAAACAATAAAAATAATGCTGCAAAAATAAGAAGGCAACGTTATTGCTTGTATAAACAAAACTACTTCATCTCCGTAGCAGTCTATTAATCTTCTTTTATTTCCTTCTTCTTGTGTTTTTTTTTAGTGTGTCTATTTTTGTCCCTGGTGTATATTCATCTCATATCTGCTTAAAACACTTTTACTAATTTTGCAAAGGACTTTATTTTTAGGATGACAACAAAAAACAAATGACTTATTTTTAACTTTTATTAAATTCAATATTAACAACACTTTGTTTCCTCTTCCACAAACACACCTCTATCGGGGTTTTTGTCATAGCAAAACAGAAATCAACTTCACCAAAATAGTTGTTTCTATCGCACACAACTGACGCTGAGCTTCATACTGATAAAGTCTTAAAACGGATGAAAGGTCCGAATTAACAGTAATAATAATGCCTTACCGATGTAAACACCATTCATAACAAAAAATCCAATAAGCATATTGATTTCGCCTTCTGCATTCGCTATAACGATTGATTTTACTCCATAGACCGATATGTTAACTTCAGTTAACTTAACACCCGGTTTAGCCTTTGGCCCATACATAGTTCCTTTGCTCTGCTCTTTGTTTGACACTAATATCAGTTCATTCTTTAACCCGCCCAGTCATTTTCTTCTGCAAAAAAACAACAAAGAAAAAAATGAGAAAAAATCAAGCTGATTATGAGGAGAAAATGCTTTTTCTCGCTTCTTTCGCAAAAGGTGACGTAGTCGCAAGGCCATTAAGTCATTCAAAATTATACTCAGGATGCAAAAATTCAGTTGTATTCCATCAGACTAATTAAGACACGTTTTGGCTGTCATTTAGCTGCATAAGAATTGGCTATTTTTGAATCTATAGTGGATAAAACGGGCTGCAACAAAAGCCATGTTGTACGATGAAACTGATGTCACAGGCAACAACAATGCATAAAAACAGTTCATTAAGAAGCAATAAAAGAACTATAACAGCAAAAATCGTTTTAAAAACAAAGCAATTTTGTTCGACCAGTTTACGACGATTTATACTATTGACGGTTTTAAATGTGAACTGCAGCGAGTAAACATTACTAAGACAACTAACCAACAACTAGCCCAATAGGCAAGTCGAGACAAAATTGGAAAAACCTGATAGCAAATTTGCATTAGGAACAATTTCTCGAACTTCTTGTCTGGTAACCAGCTTAATCAATTTTTTCTCTTTAGACAAAAATGAAGAAAAATGACCTACAAAACGATTGACATGGTCGGCTAAATATAGAAAATTCTGCTCACTTTCAAAGTTAGCAGTTGGATAAATTCACTGTTGTTGTTATTATTACTATCATTTATTGCTATTATTATTATCGTTATTATTATTATTTTTATTAGTACTATTACTATTTATTGTTTATTATTATTATTATTATTATTATTATTATTA